CTCCTCGCACTCAGGGCCCAGGGCCAGCCTGTCCTCCCAGGCCTCCTCGAGCCCCCTGGATTCCAACACGGCTCCTGGAAATCTCCCCCCACCCAAAGTGCCCTTGCACTGGGGCCACTCTCACGGTTTCTTGGAGGTGTGAAGTGGGCCGGGCTGTGGTGTAGAGGGCTAAGCCTCTGCCTGCAATCCCAGCATCCCATATGGTCGCTAGTTTGACTCCCGGCCCCGGCTGAGGCCATCTGGGGAGTGAACTGGCAGCTGTAAGATTGCACGCTCTCCCTCTCTCTATAACTCTGCCTTTCAAACAAATAAATAAATCTTTTAAAAACCATGAAGCAAAAAGGCAAGTGTATCTGAGTGAAACTCGTGCCTGCTTTTCCACAGCACACGTTGTCCGTGAATCTCTTGAGGAAGTATGGATTTATTTCCATTTCTTCTTTTCCGCTTCTCTCTGCACCAACGCATGAATATTAACATCAAATACCCTCAGTCCCGAGGTCTCTTTGCTCTTTTCCAAGGTCCTCTGTGGTGTCCAGGACTCAGTACCAACTGTGCCAGGTGGACTTCCTGCCGCTGAGGTGATGACCACTGGGTCTATTAGTGTCGAGTTACTCGGATGGTTTTTGAAAGTGAAGTCAGTCCCCGTTCCTGGCTGAGCGGTGCCTGCAGGGGTGCACGTGCGTGCTCACGGCCAGCGTCTGGCTAAGGCCCCGTCCTGGAGGTTGCCTTCTTCCCACACTTCCATGTCAGGGTCACAGTGACCTCGGAAGCACTGGCATCTTTCCACGGAGTTCTCCCCTCGCTGTGCAGTTCCCAGCTCTTTCCTTAAATGTTGGAAAGAAGGCACCAGTCAGGTCATGTGGTTTTTCTCTGTAGAAGGTTTTCAGATATAAGTTTAATTCCTCTAAAAAGATCTACTTGTGTTGTATGAGTTTTGGCCAATGATGTTTTCTGGCTCTGCCCTCTCCATCTCTATTGACAGATTTCTTGGAGCAAGACGGTGATGCCTGCAGTGATGGTTAAATGTCCGTGGAACCCACGGTGACTCTCCCGCCCCGGGACATCTTTTTCCTTGGCTTCACCAAACTCATGAACATTTTAGAAGAATCAACTGTTAGGTTTCTGATATTCTGCATCTTACCTATTTTTTATTTCCATTCTTCCCATATTTTGATTTCCTCTTTCCCTTGTGGCTTCTTACAGCAAAACAATGGGGCCAGTGCTGTGGCATAGCAGGCAAAGCTGCTGCCTGCAGTGCCAGCAACCCATATGGGCACTGGTTCGAGTCCTGGCTACTCCTCTTCTGATCCAGCTCTCTGCTGTGGCCTAGGAAAGCAGTGGAAGATGACCCAAGTCCTTGGACCCCTGCACCTGCATGGGAGACCTGGAAGAAGCTCCTGGCTCCTGGCTTCGGCTCAACACAGCTCTGGCCATTGCAGCCATTTTGGGGAGTGAACCAGCAGATGGAAGACCTCTCTCTCTCTCTCTCTCTCTCTCTCTCTCTCTCTCTCTCTCTGCCTCTCTGTAACTCTGCCTTTCAAATAAATACATAAATGTAAGGGGGAAAAAAGGCAGAAGCACCAATCATTCACTTTATACCTGAGGCTGGGGATTTTCCCTCCTCAGCATCGCACCAGCTCCTGTGAGAGAGCTCGGCTGCTCCCTGGAACCCACAATGACCCACAGCCTCAGGGAGCCCCCCAGAGGCTGGCTGGGGGGAGGGGCAGGAAGAAGGGGTTTGCCTGTCACCAGCTGGGCCCTACCTCAGCCACACTGCCCGCCACTACCACAGAGCCTGCACAGCCCTGCACAGCCCTGCACAGCCCTGCACAGCCAGCTTGCTCTGGAGCCCAAAGCTGCACTTCAAAACAGGCCAGGGCTAGGACTAGCTCTCGGGGATTTGCCACATTGAAACACAGAGGAAGAATTGTGTTACTGTCTTAAGAGAAACAGACTTCAGTGTCTGTTTAAGATGTGAAAGGACAAAGTCTTCCTAAACTGGAAACAGGAAGGGGCTCACCCACAGCAAGCGTCCTCCTGCCTCCTGATGGCAGGGGGTCCTGCGTCCCAGTGACCCTCACAGGGGCCAGCAAAGTCCAGCAGGGGGTGGTAACAAGGCAGGACTCGAGCTTCAGGCTGAGGGAGGGTCGGGGGCCTGCCCAGAGCCTGGGGCCTGGGCACCGGGGACCCAGGCAGCCTCTGGTGATTTCCTTTCCGGCTCCCCGACTCCTTGTCTGTCTGCACACCTGCCCTGCCCCATGAGGACATGGGGCTGGGACCTGGGCAGTCTCTATCTGCATCTGATCCTGGCCAGTTAAGCTGACGGCGTCACGGGGGAGGCGGGTCCCTGGTGGGAGGCAGGAGGGAGCTGTGGGCGGTCGCTCGTGCCGTAAGGAGCTGGTCTCCTTGTGAGTTCTCAGAAACGAGTGAGGGCCAGGGCAGTGTGAAGTTGCAGCCATGTGTCCTGAGGCACTTCTGACCAGACTGGGTCTGGGGCACTGGCCTCTGGCTGCCCAGCGCTCAGCTGCACAGGGAGATGCCCACCAAGCCCAGCCCCGGCCCGAGTGAAGGCAAGGAGCCCTGGGAGCACCTGCGTCTGTCCCCGCTGTTAAGCCTCACCTCCGACACTAGGCGTCTCTTACTGGGAAGGGATGTCTTTGTAGCCGGCTCCTCTGCCTTGCACCCTCCAAGCCTTGACCCAATGGTCACAGGTATCCTGTGCCCTCCTCTCACCGTGTCCTGGAGCCAGGTAAGGAACTCCCTGGCCGGGAGCCACATTCAGGCCTCAGGAAAGCCTGGGAGAACCTGCGGGGACCCCAGCCCCTTCCCAGGTGAAGAAGGGAAGTCAGAATGGAGCCATGGGGTTGGGCTAGGAGTCAAACTCAGACCTGCAGCTTAAAAACCTTGCCAGCCTGTACAGCCAACAGCTGAGTGTGGGTGTTCATCCGTGTGCCTGCGTGCCCACTTGTGTGTCTGTGCCCATGCTCCCATTTGTGCACCTGTGTGAACCTCTGTGTGCCTATGTGCTCACCTGTTTGCACAGCTGTGCACTCCTGTGTGTGATTGTATAAGGAGCTGTGTCAGTCTGTGCACCTGCACATGCAGAGATTCACGTACTTGTGTGAAGTTGTTTGCACACCTCTGTAGATGTCGTGTGTATGCCTGTATGTACCTGTGTGTATCCAGTGCACCCAGGCATGCCACCATGTGCCTTTGCCTGCAGCCACCCGGGGCAGCTGCATCTGGGGTCTGTTTTCAAGGATATTTCTCTTGAGCTGGTGTCATGTCCAGGGCAGCTAGTTTGTGGTCACACATGTACCCAGTTTCAAGCTGTTTGTTCAGCTTCTGTAGGAAAGCGTGGAGCCTGTGAGGCTGGGGTCTCGGTGTTCGTGCCCTGGGCAAGGGGCACACATGTGCAGGGTCTGGACTGCTTAGGGAGTCTCTGTCCACCTGGCATTGTGCTGTGGGTGTGTGAGACCTGCGCCAGCACAGGTGCATCTGGGCATGGGTATGGCGTGCCCTGGGAGGCTGTGTAAGTTTGGGGGTTGGTGTTTCTCTCGGATGCAGGACCTGAGGCCCTCCTGTGCCACGCCTGACAGTAGCTGGGGTCCTGTCACCTGTGGCTCCTGGGTCAGCAGAGCATGGACACCTTTCAGTCATCCCCAAGTGTCTGTGTGACAAGAGCTCAGGCAAATCCAGCCTCAGCTCCTGTCTGAGAAGGTGACACCTGCTCCATCTTTGAGAGAAGACCTGGGGCTGGAAGAGGCAGAGGTCTGTCCCCAGCCCCCAGCTGGCAAGTGGGAGATCTGAGCTGAGCTGAAGCCAGCTGTTAAAGGTCACAGGAGCTGCGGGGGGACGGTGAGAGGGGCCCAGCTCCCAGGGAGGTTGTGGGCAGTGATGTCAGGGACAAGGCTGAGCCACCCGTATGCTCCGCCAGGCATTGTCAGTCAGGCGGGTAGCCTGAATGTGTCCCTGTCCTTGGAGCTCACCCTCTGTCACGGCCACTCCCTGTAGCCCGGCAAGGGATTCTGCCATGACCCCAGAGGACAGCCAGAGGACCTTACCCCAGGTCACAAGCTGATGGAGGCTGGAATCCAAACCCAGCCCCTGTCCCAACACTGACACTTTGGGCTCTGGGCTCTTCTGGGTGGGTGCCAAGCAGCTCACTGGAGGTGAGAGGTACAAAGGGCCATGGGCCACCCAGAGCTGAGGGTAGAGTGGAGACCAAGGCTGGAGACCCCTACTCCCAGGAGTCCACCCTGTAGAATTTTTGGCCCAAAGGCCTTTGGGTTAGGGTCAGAGCAGCAGCCCCTTGGAGCTCACTCTGCGGCAAGCTCACCTCTGAGCTTCACCCCTCTGGTTGGCGGTGACTTCTGAGTGTCCCCAGGCAGCTACAAAGGGCTGGCCGCTGCCTCTGTGTTGGCCAGCCGCCACCTCCGTTGAGAACCTACTGGAGGCAGGAGGGAGGGTACTCTGGAGACTTCCACCTGGCCACACCACCCAACAGTGTCCCCCAGACTCAGCCCTCCCAGCAGTGTCCCCCAGACTCAGCCCCACCCAGCAGTGTCCCCCAGACTCAGCCCTCCCAGCAGTGTCCCCCAGACTCAGCCCTCCCAGCAGTATCTCCCAGACTCAGCCCTCCCAGCAGTGTCCCCCAGACTCAGCCCTCCCAGCAGTGTCCCCCAGACTCAGCCCTCCCAGCAGTGTCCCCCAGACTCAGCCCTCCCAGCAGTGTCCCCCAGGCTGAGCCCCACTTTGAAGGTCAGTGTAGGATATCGAGGGCTGTGTTTGAAGCTTGTGGGTGCAGGGAAGCAGGCAGAGCCTCAGCCACATTCCAAATTCCTGAGTTTATTTTAAAGCGAGTACAAGGCCAGGCTCAGCCTCAGAAGCGCCTGAGTAACAAAGCCGCAGCCGCAGGAGAGAGGAGCCCCAGGCTGCTGCAGCCAGGCCCAGGATGAAGCCACTCACTGCCCACTCAGCTGTATTTAAGGCAACTCCACCCTCTGAGACTACAGCCCGGTGCAGAACAGGAACCCGAGGCACATTGCTCGGGGAAAAGGCACCAGCGACAGCCGTCCCTGACACTGAGGTCACTCTCTCGTCCTCTGACCCCAGCACTGCTCCGCTGGCCCAGCTGCCCCTCCTGACCTCCCCGCCTGAGCCTGGCCAGCAAGCACTCCCAGGGCCCTGACCCAATCTCTGATGCCCTGAGGTGACCTCAGCTGTGGCCTCCCCCTGACCCAGACAGGTCAGACTGTGGCTGGGCCCCTGCACCCTCACCCTTATCACTGTTTGCAAGCCCCCAAGGCCTCTGAGATGGGACCCCTGGGCAGAGCCCTTGTCTCCCACCCCTCTCAGGGAGCAGTGTGGAGATGAGGGTAAGACCTGGCCCCCACCCCTGACCTGACCCCCTGCTCCCTCAGGCGTGTGGGGGCCATGTCCCCACGGGGCAACCGCTCAGAGGTGGTCGAGTTCATCCTGGTCGGCTTCCCGGGCTCCCTGGGGCTCCACGCGTGCCTGCTGGTGCTGTTCCTGCTGGCCTACACGCTGACCGTCATGGAGAACCTGGCCATTGTCGTGGTGGTGCGTGCCAGCCCGGCACTGCACAAGCCCATGTACCTCTTCCTCAGCAACCTGTCCTTCCTGGAGGTGTGGTACGTCTCTGTCACCGTGCCCAAGATGCTGCTCAGCCTGGCAGCGCCCCAGTTCCGGCGCATCTCCTTCGCCGGCTGCATGGCACAGCTGTACTTCTTCCTGGCGCTGGCCTGCACCGAGTGCACGCTGCTGGGTGTCATGGCCTATGACCGCTACGTGGCCATCTGCCACCCCCTGCGCTACGCCAGCATCATGAGCCCCGGGCTCTGCAGCCTCCTGGCCGCTGGTTCCTGGCTCTCCGGCTTCACCATCTCCCTGGGGAAGGTGTTCTTCATCGCCCGCCTGGGCTACTGCGGCCCCAATGTCATGAACCACTTCTTCTGCGACGTGTCCCCGCTGCTGAACCTCGCCTGCTCCGACATGTCCGTGGCGGAGCTCATGGACTTCCTCCTGGCGCTGCTCATCCTGCTGGGGCCGCTGCTGCTGACCGTGGCCTCCTACGCGGCCATCCTCAGCGCAGTGCTGCGCATCCCATCCACCGCCGGCCGGCACAAGGCCTTCTCCACCTGTGCCTCGCACCTGGCAGTGGCCGTCATCTTCTACTCGGCCTCCCTCTTCATCTACGCGCGGCCGCGAGCCATCTACTCCTTCGACTGCAACAAATTGGTGTCCGTGGTGTACACAGTGCTCACGCCCCTGCTCAACCCCATCATCTACTGCCTGCGGAACCAGGAGGTGAAGCAGGCACTACGCAAGGTGATGCAGAGGGCGGTCCAGGCCCTGGGTGTCCCTTCCTAGACTCTCAGGCCCCCTCCTCGGCCCCTGCACGTTCCCACCAGCTCCAGTAGGACAGGGCCAAGTCTGAAGGGAGCCAGCAGTCAGCACGGCCTCCTGCTCTGGCCGCTGTACCCCCGTGCCATCCCCTGAGCCCAGCAGGTGCCTCGCCTGGGGACTCTTCCCCACTGACCCCGTGTGGTCTCCCCCATGCTGGCCGGCTGTTCCCACCCAAGGGGTCTGAAGGGGCACTCTGGCCCCACACGGTGGTGCTTACAGAGCCCGGTGGGCCTGCTGGGAGTCTTCCTCTGGCCTGGCCCTCGGGGACCTGGTCGTGGTTTGATTCCAGGCGTGATTCTCAGGCAGGGAAGGGAGGCAAACCACCACTCAGGAGCAGAGGGAGGACAGGGGACAGAGGACTCCAGGGTGGCTGCGAATGTCCCTAAGCGAAACCTCCACCTGGCTGCCTGCTGCTCACCTGCGACATCTCCACAACCAGCGTCCAGCCCGTAAGGAGCCAGTGGTGTGAACAAGGCCAGGGCAACCAGGAGCATCTCAGGCCACGATCACAGCCCTCAGAACACTGACCCCACTGCCAGGGAGTGGATGTCCATCCACGCAGGCAACCCTCTGGATGGCCCACCAGGCTGTGGCCTTGCCCCACTCTTGTGGGTGTGGCCTGAGGAGCCCCTGCAGAACAGGCCCTCTCCCCAGAGCAGTGCCCTGACACAGGCCCCGCCCACCCTCACCTCCAGCCAGAGCTGTGGACGCAGCATGGAGGCCAGAGACCACATCACAACCATGACAGCACTGTCAAGTTACCACTGGCCACTTCACAGAAGTCTGGAATGGCCAATCCGTGGGCTGGATGCTTGGAAGTCCTGAGCTGCACCCTCGGGACCATGACCTAGGCCTCCTGGACACACGTGGATGGGCTCAGGGTGTGGAGCTGGCCCTGCACAGGCCAACAGCCAACCCAAGGCATGGATGCCACAGCCCCCACCCCCGAACAGGGACTCAGAAAGGCACAGCCACCAGGTACACAAAGGACTGGACCAGTCCAGCCCAGGGGGCACAGTCCTGATTGCTCTGGGTCCCCGTGTGACCTGAGGGTCTCTCTGTCCATGGGAGATGTGAGCAGGAGCAGAGAGGGAGAGCCAAACCCTCACTTCGTCCCCAGTCAGTGGTCTCAACTGGAACTGTGGGCAGGACTGAGGGGCTTCCCAGTGGACACAACTCAGCCACCAAGGGACCCACACACATCCAACCACAGGCGACCTCACCGTGCAGCCAAGGGTCCCTGAGAAGTGCCTATAAATCCGAAATGACAACACATCCCCGACACTTCCAAGTCAAACTTCCAAAAACTCATATTTTAAAATGCAGTGAAGGGCCGGCGCCACGGCTCAATAGGCTAATCCTCCACCTGCAGTGCCAGCACACCAGGTTCTAGTCCCAGTCAGGGTGCCAGATTCTGTCCCGGTTGCTCCTCTTCCAGTCCAGCTCTCTGCTGTGGCCCGGAAAGGCAGTGGAGGATGGCCCAAGTCTTTGGGCCCTGCACCCGCATGGGAGACCAGGGGAAGCACCTGGCCCTGGCTTCGGATCAGTGAGGTGTGCCAGCTGCAGTGGCCTTTGGGGGGTGAACCAACGGAAGGAAGACCTTTGTCTCTGTCTCTCTCACTGTCCACTCTGCCTGTCAAAAAAAATGCAGTGAAGGGGCTGGCACTGTGGCGTAGCAGGTAAAGCTGCTATCTGCAGCATTGGCATCCCTTATGGGTGCCAGTTTGAGTCCCGGCTGCTCTGCTTCTGATCCAGCTCTCTGCTACGGCCTGAGAAAGCAGTGGAAGATGGCCCAAATGCTTGGGCCCCTGCACCCACTTGGGAGACCTGGAAGAAACTCCTGGCTCCTGGCTTCAGATCAGCCCAGCTCTGGCCATTGCTGCCATTAGGGGAGTGAACCAGTGGATGGAAGACCCCTCCCCCCATTTCTACCTCTCTCTAACTCCACCTCTCAAAAAAAATGAAAAATAAATCTTTTTTAAAAATGGCAGTGAAAATACTAGCTGGATTATTTTCATTAGCTAAGTGTATGCTGTGGGGCCAGTGCTGTGGCATAGCTGGTAAAGTTGCTACCTGCGTCATAGGCATCCTGCGTGGGTGCCAGTTTGAGTCCCGGCTACTCCACTTCCAAACCAGATCCCTGCTAATGGCTTGGGAAAGCAGTAGAGGATGGCGAAAGTGCTTGGGCCCTGCACCCACATGGGAGACCAGGAAGAAGCTCCTGGCTTAGGATCAGTCCAGCTCTGGCCATTTTGGCCATTTGGGGAAAGAACCAACATAAAGAAAATCTCTCTTTTTCTCTCTCTGCCTCTCTCTCTCTCTCTCTCTCTCACCCTCAGACCTCCTGGGGCTGTGGACACCACCACAAGGCTCTGAGAAAGAGAAATTATAAAACTTGTTTCTGCTCTGAGATTGCTCTATGGGCAGTGCCCTGGTGCAGTGGGGTTAGCTCCACCCAGGACACCTGGGATGGTGTCAGCTACCTGCTTCTCCTCCAGCTCCCTGCTAATGCAAGAATGGCAGGAGCAGGTCACAGCTCAAGTACTTGGGTCTCAGTCATCTACGTGGGAGAGCTGAATGGAGTTCCTAGCTCCTGGTTCCTGGCTTCTGCCTGGTCCAGCCCTGGACATTGTGGGCATTTGTAGAATGAACCAGTAGGTGGAAATATCCCCCCCTTTCTACTGTAAGTAGATGAAAAAAAGTAGATGAAGATAAACACTGAAAAGACTATTTTAGCTTCAGCTCGGACACAGGAGCAGGCGCACCAGCTTTCCCAGTGCCTGGCCTGGCTTTGTGGGTGCAGGTGGGGTGCATCGGGAGCCCTCCAACCAGAAGAGCCAATGGGAGGCAGAGGAGGGAGATGCCCAATTGCTAGAGCTCCAAAGAGGAAACGACCAGGGATAAAAGTTCAAATCCCCAGCACAGAGAGGGCATCAAAGCCGGGAACAGAATCACACAGCCAGAGGGCAGAGGAGGGGCCCCATGCAGCAGGGAGCACCGGGACCCCCAGCCCTGCCTTGCTTCCCAGCTAGCTCCCTGCTAATGCCCCCGACCACCTGCCCGAGCACCCACCACACAAGCAGGAGGTGGCGGCACAGCTCCTGGCTCCTGTTACTCTGCCTCTCAAGTCAATGAAAATAAACAACATAAAAGTAAAAAAAGCAGAGGACATGAGCAGACAAAATGAGACCTTGGTGAGCTGAGGGGATAGGCGGGGAGGCCTGGGACACTGAGCCCTGGCAGGAAGGCCCGGGATGAAGGGCCAGGGGTCAGCACAGACCCTGCGAGATCGCCTCGTCACACCCCCACCCCCCGACCAGGCCTGCAGGTCCCCAACTTAGTCCAGGGCGCATCCGCCCACCCAGGCCTGCTGTTCCCACTGGCTATGTGGGTGTCCTGGTGGAAGGCGCACAGCTGTGGGTAACCAGCCCGGTCCACCCAACACAGCCGGGCCCTGTCCCACCATGGAGCCCAAACCCATCCCCTGCCCACCCCAGGTACTGACTAGGCCACTCCCTGCCCAGCCACAGGGGACAGGACCCCACCCCCCAAGAAGGGGAGGGGCGGGGCTTGAAAGTCGCGATGGCAATGGTGCCCCCTGGCTCTGAGTCTTGTGGCTGCGACCTAGAGGGCAGAGGGCAGAGGGCAGGGAACGGGGTGGCCCAGGGGGTGCTGTGGGCTAGGAGATGGGGTGGGGAGGGCCATGGCTGAGGGGAGGGGTCTTTAGGGACTAGAAGATGAGCTGAAGAAATCAAGCCAGGAAGTGGCCCAGGAAATGCAGGCTGAACATGTTTGCAGTCAGAGGCTGTGCCCAGAAGACCACCATCCCGCCACAAGAGAGTTCCAGAATGTTCCAAGGAGGCAGGAGGGCAGAGAACTGAGAGTGAGCCTTGGTCTCTCCCCCAGTCGCCAGGGAGGAGCTGCCAGCCGCGACCCTGGAAGTTCCCGGGGCAGGCGGGACCCGCAATGCTGAGCTGGGACCTGTACACGGGTCTGGAAGAAGGGCAAGCAAGCGGGAGCTTCCCTGCTGCAGGAAGATGACGTCAGAGAAGGCCCCCCAGCCCGGGGCTCCCCCCACCCCGGGGCTCCCCCCACCCGGCGCAGTCGTGGTGCCGAGAAGAGGAGCCGGTGTCACGCTTACCGGAAACGCCCGAGACCCGCGGACGCGGAACGAGCGCCGTGAGACATCCACGCGAAGCCGTCCACGCGAAGCCGTCCAAGTAAAGGAGATGACAGCGATCAGTGCGGAAGGCGGTGACGCGGACACCCGAGAGGCAGTGAAGTCGGTAAAACCCGAAGCTTGTCCTTGGAGACTGTCGGTGGGGGATCAACTGCTAATCAGTCTGATCAGGAGAAAATGAACGGAAACAAGTTGCTGGTCCCCGGAGCGGGCCTGGCCACACAGCACTGAGTCTGCGGATCTCGAAATACTGTGTCAGCTTCGTGCCGATGCGTCGACAGACTGCTTGAAAGACAAACCTCAGAAACGCAAGAAGTAGCCTAAAAGCCCTGTATCTGTGGAAATCTTATATTACATTCATAAATAAAGGTTTCCCGCAAAAGAGTACTTCAAAAGGAATGGCTTTTCTGGTAAATTATGCAAAAGAAATTAAGAGAAAAATAATCCATACTCTCCAGAAAAGTGAAGGCTGTTCCATGAAGTCAGCATTATCTTGACTCAGACAGAAAAAGGAAAACAAATTTCAAGAACAACTGCAGGTAATATTTCTCTTGAATATGCAAATTTTCTAAAGTTTTAAGCCTGCAGAATGCAATGATTCACACATGACCTATACCAGGGATGTACGACTGGCTTACCATTCCATCTAGGCATTCTAACTTACCCAGTTAGTTCACCCAGGAACAGGTTTAAAGAGACTGACCAGCCGGCACCGCGGCTCACTAGGCTAACTTCCGCCTGTGGCACTGGCACACCGGGTTCTAGTCCCAGTCGGGGTACCGGTTCTGTCCCGGTTGC